GGTCACTTATTGCAGTAAATTATCAGTAATGATTAAAAGTGAGACTTAAAGGTACCCTGAAGGGCTCCCTTAAAACCATGTATCGCATATGCAAATGAACCACTTCAAAGTAGACACTTCCAATAAGAATTACTCCCTGATGTTTTCAAATACCTTCAGAGCCTGCAGCATAATCTATCAAGCTCCTTTAAAGGTGGCAAGCATTCTCTGCCTTCCTCTCATCATTCAGGCTTCAGATCAAATGTCACCTTCTCTGAGAGACCTTTCCTGACCTCCCTCCCAGAAGTATCACCACCACCCAAAAAAACTCCTCCCACAAGCCTTTGCTGTCACTATCACATCACCTAGTTCGTATTACATGCCACCCATATTTAGTTACAAGATGTGGAAGACAAGAATTTTGTTTTATTAGCCACCGTTTCCCCAAGTACCTAAAGCAGCACCAGGCACACAGCACGTGTTCAGTAATTATGCACTGAATGGGTGAATGGAGGCAATTTTTGGAAATATCTCCAAGCCACCTGGAGCCAAGCCCAGAGAATGATATTTATATAATTGGGGTCAAAAGCATGTTAACGAATGATGAAAGTGATTTTTCTTTTGTAGAACATAAACTCATCCACTTAACACTTACCTATTATACAACAGGCACTTCATAAATCTATTCTTCTTGTTCATTTTATTTGATCTTTGGCCTAAGACCAAGTATGGTAGTACATATTATCCTAAAGGGGTGCTCCCAAAGTAGTTCAAGTCATGGCTGTATCATTTGAGAAAGTACAGCTCCAAGGTGAAGATAGTCATGTTCTGCATAACGACGTTTCAGTCAATGACAGACCACATATACAACAGTGGTCCCATAAGATTAGTACCATACAGCGTAGGTGTATAGGAGGCTGTACCATCTAAGTTTGTGTAAGTGCACTCTATGATGTTCGCACGATGACAAAATCACCTAACAATGCATTTCTTAGGATGTATCCCTATTGTTAAGCAATGCATGACTGTACTTTGAGGGGACGATCCTCCAGCACCTTTGTAGTATTTTTATAATTATTTAAAATAGCCTCATCAGAATATCCCTTCAACATTATGCAAGTTTCCAGCATGAACTTGTATACAATGTTAGGTCAAATACTGTCCTGCAAGAGATCCTAGAGTATTGTCTACTAAAGCCAGACATCCAAGAATTACACTGACTATTCCAAGAGACTATCATTCTACCACGCACTAGTCATAGCACAGAACAGATGAGGAAAAGAGGTGATTCCATATTTGCAAGTTTCAAAATCTTCTAATTATTGGGTTAATGTGCCCTCGTGACTATAATTCTGAAATAAGCAGATTTTTTAAAATGTTGCGTAGAATGATTCTTTTTGTTTGCTTTCACTTAAGAACAGAAATTCTTCAATACTCAATCTTACAATTTCTCATTTCTCCATAGCATGACTAACATGAACTGACAAAAAAAATAGCTACATTCCCTATTCTCTTTCATTTTACACCTCTACCTTTTCTCCTGAAAACAAAACACTTCCTAATATATCTAGGTTACTAAAATTATTATGAACACCAATAACCCTGGATTCTCAGTCACTTGTATCCTTTTCTAGCAATGCCTGGTATTGAGTACTGAGAATTATTATTTTTTTTTATTTATTTATTTACTTATTTTTATTTTTTGTTTATTGCAGTAACATTGGTTTATAACATGGTATAAATTTCAGGTGTACATCATTATACTTCTATTTCTGCATAGATTACATCATGTTCACCACCCAAATACTAATTACAACTCATCACCACACACATGTGCCGAATTATCCTTTTTGCCCTCCTCCCTCCCCCCCTTCCCCTCTGGTAATCACCAATCCAATCTCTGCCTCTATGTGTTTGTTTGTTGTTGTTATTATCTACTACTTAATGAGGGAGATCATACGGTATTTGACCTTCTCCCTCTGACTTATTTCACTCTGCATAATACCCTCAATGTCCATCCATGTTGTCTGAGAATTATTATTAAGAATAAGACCTCTATTTACATTCTGTGATGCTGAAGGTTTAATATAGACCCACCAATGTATAAATGACCAGCACAAATGTTTGTTCCTTGTTTTCAGGAGAGCTGAAGAACTGTGAATTTCCTTAGGCTTAATATGATTTAAGTGAACTGGTACAAGTAAGCCATTTCTTCAGACTTAATTCTCGGACATTTCAGCTGATGCATGTCCTGACGTGATAATTTTATATTACAATAAACTGAGAGAATGGGTCTTCCTTAGTTCTTTACAAGATATTTAAAAACCAGTAACGTTTTTGAGTAAAAGATGAAAATTCAGGCTCATTTAAAAACTCATCAGACTCTTCTCAGCCTTTATTAACTTGGCACCATTCCTTCTCATCGAACTTGCAGAACGATCCCAACCCCAGCCTTCACATCCAGGTATTTCCCTCATTTCAAATGAAACTTTCCACATAAGCAATCAAATTTTCAGATTACTGTAATGGTTGATCTCTGACTCCTAGTCTAAATAAGTACTGATGATTTCTGTGGCAAAAACAAGAAAAATAAAGGAAGACTCCTTCTAGCCAGGACTTGGCAATTTCACAGTAGGGGGCAGGAAGGGAAAAGGGAGTTAGCCACATGGATACCTACACCAACTGCTTCTCAGTTTCTAAAACATTAACACATTATCCCTTTTGAGAGGCTGACAAAAGCACTGACACCAGTAAACTGTATCTGGCTGCACAGAAAGGGAACTGTCCACAATTATATAAAGGACATAATAACTGTATAGAAAAAGGAAATACTTTGTACTTTGCCCTAAGAACTCAACAGATCTAAGCCTTGGAAAGGAAGAGGATTCCAAAGCCAGGAGCCCTTAAACCAACATCCCCTCCCCTAAACTTAGGGGCAAACAGCACTGACAGCTTAACTAATCACTTTCCTGCAGAGCCTGGCAGAAGGAATTCATCATTTGAGAACGAGAGCGATTAAAAGGAATGGATTCAGCACATTTCCTGCACACCTACATCCTTCTACCACCTGGCTTACACTCCCCACTCCAAATCTGGACGGATGTAAGAGTTAACACAGACCCTCCCAAGCTTATTCTCTAGGGTTAGGCCCCTCTTTTTTTTTCCTTTCATATGTGCTACTCCACTTTTCTAAGGATTCCCAAGTACTAGTAGTTCTGAAAGAAAAAGCATTAAGACCTAGATTGATTTTTAAAACCAAAGTACAAATGACCCCGTAATTAACTTTTTTTTCTGAGATTCAAAATGCATTAGACTATCTCCCTGGCACTCTATGTGCCACTCACATAGTTTAACTGCACATCAAAGAACTCTAACGCTGACACCAGATCAAATTAACCTGAGAGCACTAAGAGATGTGCCACGCTACAACTGAAATGACGACTGCACTTCACAAGTTAATTGGGACACTGCTTTCATCCACTCTCCATAAAAGTGATTCCTTTTTCCTGGAGGCACATTTCATGTTGGCACTTATCAGTACGTACTTCTAAGGCCTGCATCAGACCCAACTGCCTTCCTTCCTCTACCCACAGGCCCAGGGACACAGCTGCCTCCACCCACTCTGCTCCTGGAAAGCTCCTCCCTCCATTCTTATTGCCAAGGTGGATGCAGCTCTTCAATTTCCCCTCCCTCGCTGCCCCTAAAGACACTGGCCAGTGACTTTCATGGTCTGAAGGACTTTACCACCACCCATTACAAAGAGCATAAGGTGTAAACACACCTTAGGGAAGTTTCAGAGCTTCCACCCAAGTACTCCAGTCGTGGTCCTAGGATCTGTCGTTTCCAGCTTAACAAACCTCCAGCTTTTTCAAATGTAATCTAAGTCATGATTCTAGACTTTCAGAATTCAGGAGCCAGTCAAATTTTTTTAAAAAAAGAAAAGGGAAAAAAGGAAAGAAAAGGCAGAAAAGAAAAAACGAGAGGATCTCCGACATAGGGTTAATTTTTTTCTAATAAAGGACAAAAAAAACCAAGCAACAACTCACCATCTGCCAGTACCACAAATGATACAGATTTTTATTAAATACAACAATCCATCTTTAAAACTATAATAAATTCATCTTTTAAAAAAACTCTTACTACATTGTTTTATTTTCTTATTTTGCCAGGGAGAAATGAAAACACACTGCATGAAGGAGCTGGACTTCAGAACATGATTCAACCCAGCCCTGCACTCAGTCATGGAGAGGACATAAAATAACCTCTCTACCTCAATTACACAGTTTGCAAAATATTCAATACACAGCAATCCCCGCTTCCAATTACATGGAACAAATATTGTGCCTAGAAAACAGGAAAGCCGGAGCTTGAACCTGAAGTCCTCTGAGACTAGCAACTCCACGTTAGAAACTGACTAGCTACTGAAGGAGAGAAAGGGACCTCACTTGGTCCTTAAAAACCCTCACTAGTTGTATGAAAAGAAATATTAGTTCAATACCATCAAGAAATGACAAATTGGGTCAAAATGCTGATGTGAAAATCTTTATTATGTAGTTTAAACTGTTCCAAAAACCCAAAATCTATCTGGACTTACTTGGCCTTAATAAAGAACAGCTGGGCAATACGACTCATTATTAGGTAAAACTAGGCCAAAAAAGTGGCAGAAAATCTTAAACTGTGCACATCCCCCAAAATGCGTTTCCAAAAGCTAAAAAGCTGTTTAAGACTAAAATTTATAAAACTAAAACCTTCTATTTTCCACAGTTAATATGTAAATAATGGCTCAAATGCCTTTCTTTTGAGAAAACCCCTCAGCAAACTCTCCTGCAGTGCGGTGCCAAAACCCTCAACAGGAGAACTTAATCCAAATGTAAATGTAGGTCATTTCTTCCCTCACAGTGCAGCAGTATTTTATGAACGTCATTACTTGAAAGCAGGAGGGAAAATCTGAGCACTAGATTTACATGGAAAATTACAATGTTATATCATAAACTTTTAATAAACAAAAGCGTTTTACTTACGACGTTCCCTGCTGAGAATTAGTGTGGGTTTTTGAAGATGTATCATATTGTTCTGTGGAGGAGGGAAAAATGATCAGAGCAGCACAATGACATATGAGACTGTTAGTTATAAATTCCCTTTTTTTTTGCTACCCCCCCCCACTCTTTTCATCTAAACACTTAGTATACTTTAATTTTGTCAACTAAAGTGCTACACAGCACTTGGAATAATCTCAACACTGTAAAATAACATTCATGTCACCTCTAGAGAGAGGGCTTGCTCAGAATTGAAAAATCCTTAGAGCAAACTTACTGTGAAAAAGCACTGGGGGGCAACCTTCCTGTGTTCTTTCCTCGATGTCGGTCAGTGGGGGCTCCCATGGAAGCACCAGGACAGGGCTGCTCTCACACCCCCTGGTTTGACTGCAGACATCTACCCGTGATGTGCAAGTAATCCCTTTCTACAGCCTCTGGCCTGGGCCAAATGTGTTCTCCCTCCCACCTATCCCTCCATTATTCAACAACCCCCCATTCATTTACTCAACAGCTATTTATAGACTGCCTAGTAGATACTAGGATGTTCAAGGCATCTGACCCTGTCCTTGATGAGCTTACAGTTGACTAAAGGACAGGAAACAGGCATGCAAATATTTACAACCCTGGGCAGTGTGAGATAAGTACATAATCAATCATACAAAATTAACTGTCCCAGGAATCTGAAGAATGGTCACCCTGTCGGTTAATGACTAAAGGTGGCAAATTAGAAAAGGAACAAAAGGAATTGCGTCACAAAGGATGGGTGAGATTTTGACAGAATGACTGGCAGGAGGCAGAGGGGGTAGGGAAGGGCTTTAAGTAGGAGAGACAACGTGAGCGAAGATACCGAAGAGGGAGGCGTTAAAATGGCTCACATTTGGGAAGGGTAAGGCTGGGCTGCAGAGTGTGGCGGACAGCATGGAAAGACAGGTGGAAATCAGATTTTAGAGGGCTCTGAATGCCAGGATGGGAAGTTATGACATTATTTGTTGGGCAATGAGACATCACCAAAGGTCTAAACAGGGACATGATACAGCGATTCCTCAGAAAGTCTAATCTGGTGGTGCTGCCTGGTATAACCTGGAGGGAACGAACCAGTTGGGAGGCTGTTGTATCTGTCTTGGCATGAGGTAATAGGGACCTGAAACAGGACTTGAAGTGAAATGGAAATATGGGTGCCTTTTAGACAGGGGTGAGTGATATTCCCCACGAATGTCATGTAGAGTCCCTTGAATATTTGCAATTAATCACTTTATCCTCATGGTGGCAGCAGCTCTTATATGATATTTTTAAATTGCTTCTCCTTCTGGCTAGTAAGCTAGAGTCAGGACTACAGTCACTCCTCCGACCACTCACGAGGACCCCAGACACTCATCCTGACAGGCCCTGAGCTCCACAAGGCTCTGGTTGTCCTTAGGCAGCCATGGTTTTGCACATGTGGACATAAATACTGGGGCATACAAGTAAAACCCTTATACTTCATTCTTTACAGACTCCCAAACCTTAAAATCACTTTTCAAGAAATCTGAATTCTCTTGCTGGGCATACTATGAGAAATATATGTCAAACTCTACTTTTCTGAAAGCTATATCTGCATATACACCACTCCCTCTTCAACCAACATAAAGCTAGACCCCTCTAGGGTCCAACTAGGCCCCACAAAGGCCATATTCTCGCAAAGATTCTCACAATGTTCCCCTGAACACCAACAGACAAAGTGGCAGCAGCTCCAGGGTAAGTCCAGAAAAACTCCAGGGTAAGCATCTGGCGAGCCGAGACCCACAGGAGACCCGCCAGCATCTGAAGGAATCAGTCCACACTATTCCACAGGCTAAGAGGGCCACCCATCCCTGGCCAAGAAAGTGCTTACCAGTTCATCTTCAACTCTATTTTGCTAAAAGGGGAAATCTAACAGTTTAAAGGATTAAAGGGTCTTTCTAAACCAAGAGTTAGCAATCACGCAAACTGTGAGTGACCTAGTGGAAGGCATATAATCTGCATGACTGGCAGCCCTAGCAAACTGGGGGGTATGTGGGGTGGGGGCGGGGGGGGGAGGGGCAAGCAGCAATCCCACCCACAGCAGAGCCGGCGATGCACCTGCAGACTTGTGCCACTCCACCTGTTATGTCTTTGGATAGGCTGCCAAGATGTTGAGGAAAAAAAGAATTTCCCAATCTCTCTAAGAAGTCACCAATTTCTGTTAATTTTACCATGCTACTTATACAATACTGTGGCAAGATGGTCAGGTTTATTTCTCTGCAATTGGGGGAAATTTAGTTATGAGTTCTTTGCAAGATCTTATTCAGTATCTCTAGAGCAGGGGACAGAAAACTTTTTCTGTAAAGAACAGATAGTAAATATTGTAGACTTTGCATGCTAACCCTTGCAGCCTAATAATCAATGAATGGGCATGGCTGTGTCCTAACAAAACCTTCTTTCTGCAACTAGCCGCAGAACAGATTTGACTCTCAGGCTATAGTGTGCCCACCCCTGTTCTAGAGGAAGGATATTCTGTTGTTCGCTTTTCTCATATTTTTCACTCTCCTCACATCCTTGCACTTTAAACAACAGAATAATCAAGGAAAAAATATAAGTGAGGGAAAAGAATGAAGTGGGGAGATTTGAAGGAAGAGTCACCTCCACAGAATATCTATGAGCAACCTTCTCCCAACACACACACACACCAGGCACCCCCCCTTGGTGTTCCTACCCTCTGAAGACTAACACATCATAACTTGGGCACTCACCATGTATTGATGAACTGAATGACTACAAATACCCTAGGCATTTTTGTAAGGCTTGCACTGTCTTGCATGTAGTTGGGATACCAAGAATTTATTGAGCCGAGGGGTTACTGATGAAAAGAAAAGCTGGATCCAGTTAGCCTTCTTCTGTTTCCCTCTGAATTCTCAAGTATTTACAATCCATAAAAAAGGGACCAAAAAAGAATTACATGGCAAATACATATAGAAGGACTAAAGAAGCTGTATGCTCTATTCCTTACAAAAATGTCTTACTTTTGTTAAAAAAAAATACAAGAACCACACAATATACCCCAACCTATTCTTATATATAATTCCCGGGTTACAACGCTTTGAGAGTCACGTTCAAGATATTTATCAGGTGTCAGGTAATACCAGGTCATATTTGTTAAGTACTTTACTAAGTCATCTTCACTAACCCTTTGCCACAATCTGAAATTCCACCTGAAGAGCAGCTTGGCCTCTGTCCTCCCTTCCTCTGCTGTCGACACGGGAAGCCCTCATCTCTGCTGGGGCATTTTTCGTTAATGTTTTTTATATTAAAACAGTAAAAACCATGCTTTGTTCTCCAATGCAATAATCAGTTCCATATATTTACTTACTTTGGTTTGGGGTTGCAGAACTAATGTGCTGAGAATCCTAGAAAGAAAAATAAAAATCTCTAGTTATTAAAATATTAAGGTTTATAAATCTAAGTTTGCATCACTGCCAAATGTGATAAATACTGATAAATCTAATTTTTACATAAAATAGGTTTTATTGCTTCTGTTCTTTCCTGGAGTTTATTTTTCCTTCAGTGTTGAGCGAAGATTTTTTTTTCAAAGTATAACGTTTTCACCTTAAAACCAGTAATAATGAATCACCTTTAAAAAAACTATCATTAGAAAATATGTCAAGTATCTAACGTGGCAAATTCTGGTTTGGGTAGATATAGCCTGTTCTGAAAACAATATCATGGAAAGAAATAACTATAATATATTAAAAATGTGCATGCATACCAGGCTGGACAGAATGCAGATCTGAAGGTGATATTTTTTATATTCTCAAAGTTATCCAAAAGCACAAACCCCCCAAAAAAGGCAGGGTTTTTAATACATTGTTCACAAATACTTCAACAGAAACATGTAAGTCAACAGTTGATTTGCTTGTTATTAAAGCCAGCACTAATGTAGCTGATCACATTAAACTTGAAGAAAATTTAGGCAGTATGAGAAATGTAAGATATGTGTGTGTGTGTATATACATGTATGTATGTATGTATATATGTATGTGTGTGTGTATATATATATATGTATGTATGTGTGTATATATATATATGTATGTATATATCTAAATTCTAAACTAGGAATCAGATAACCTACCTCACTTAATTTCCCTGTACCTCTGTTTTCCCACCTCTAAGTAAGGATCCTCATGTGAGAGAATTTATTAAAAAGTCCTAAATGCTTTCCTAAGCTACAAAACCTCCAAATGTTCTTACTGACATAATTTGCAGAATAAAGTGTTCGAAAGCATTATGAAGCACTTCAGAAGCTAAATTAATTGCTATTTTAACCTAATCTCCAAAGATTTCAACAAGTAGTACTTGATTAATCTGGCTCCCAGCAATACTTCTGACTTTTCTCTGGTGTGGAGGCAGTGCCTGCTACACTTGTAAGGAATTACCTTTGTGGGAAAAGGAAATTTGGAGGGCTCGGCTGTACTGGGCGTGTGTATTGCTGTCAAAGGAGGCGGCCATGAATGGGTCATTTCCTGGAAAGAGATTTGGAAAGGGAAGAAAAGTAAATTATAAACATTTATTGCTACTTAACTGTTTAAACTTAATGTAGAGTGGATTGATTTCATTTACTTTTTAAAAAGTTCCCACTTAATGGGCTATGTTCAAAAGCTAAGGTCTCCAACTTACAAAACTGAAAAGAAATCAGTTCAAAGAAGAAAAGCAAGAACACAGACCATGAATGGTCTTAACACTTTGAATATTATCAAGCACGTAAACGGTAATAGGTGTTACTAGAGCTTATGTAACTGTGAAAACTGAGTCTCCACTCAAGGCTTGCTTTCTCCCTCAGCTTCTTTATTGCATTTCCTGGAATTATTTAAGTTCAAAGGAAGAAGAACTTTCCTGTTTGACTTAAGCAAACAAGTAATTCAGGTCACTTGTTCCACTTGGGAGAGTTTTAATGGATTTGACCCTTCCCTGATACACACTAATAGTGCATAAGAACTTTTTTGGAGGAGAGGACCTTAAAAAATTACCTTCCTTTTCCATTAACAGAAATTTAATTTCTATTCACTATTTTCATGAAGGCAGGATTTCTAAAGCTTGCAAATTAATATATTTCTCTTGACATGAATTCTTTTTTTTCTAAGCATATACATGAATTCTGCTTTGCTAAAAAACTAGTGGACAACAATGTCAGATGAAAGGTTTTTTAATTGCAAACATGTGCACGTGCACACACACGCTTTGTTAAAGAGCTAAAATGGCACTGGGATCATTAACTCCAACCCCTTCGTCATACAGATGAGAAAAATGAGGCCTAAAACAACTGCATCAGGTCCCTGAGGAAGCCGACGGCTCCTTTGTCTTCCCAGTCTAAGAGAAAGAAGTCCATTCCCACGTATGTCAGACCTGCCTGCCAACCTGGCTTAAAGATGGACAGGCAACTCTCCACGAGCAAGCCAGTGACCCCCAGGACGCTGCGTGACCTCCCTTGTATGATACCCCGGGTGCTGTGACACTTCACTCTTTTCCAAGTGCTGAGCAGCCTCTCTATCAGCACAGAAATGCCATCTGATCCTTGCAACAACTGGGGATGGAGCTCCAGCAAGCATTCCAACTCCCACCTCAGTGCACATCTTCTCGCCTTTCCCCACAGCAGCTCCCTGGGTTGCTGTAGTCCCAGGACAGACATAAATGACTTGGCACAGTGACAGAGTAACTGATGCTGGCTTTCTTGAGTAATTTTTGTTAAATGTGAAATCATGCCCTTGTCTACTGACTAGCCATCTGCTTTGTTCAGTACAATAGAGGAATTCTGTACTAAAATATAATGGAAAGAGTCACAGCTCTGGAGCCAGAGACCCAGACTGGAATCCTAACTTAGCAGTGTCAGCGTAAGCTGCCTGGGCTCCCTGAGCCTCAGTTCTCAGCAAGAGGTAGACAAGGACCACTTACTTTTCAAAGTGTTGTAAGGGTAATTTATGTAAAGTGCTTGGATGCATGGTGCATCGAAAGCACGTAATAAATTAAAAGCATTACAACTTTTAATTAAAAGTCTAGTTTTAAAGGAATTTCAATACTGCACCAAAGAGAGTTCCCTGCTGTTTTATTTATTTGACTATACTTTAAGGAGTGGGACCATTATAATGCTACGATATAAAAACATGTAATAATTAATTGAGAAGGTATTTGAAAGTATCACCCTTACGTTTTCCTATAATTTCTTTAGAATCCCAATGGTATCTATGACTTTTAGTCATCAATTATTCCCCGAAAGCATCCATTGTACTCTCAAGGCCTAAGGCTGCCCCAGCTATTAAATCAGGCAGTTGGAGGGTGCATAAACTCTTTCAGGCCCTAAGTGGTTTGCTAGCAGTCTGAAAGAATTTATATACTCCCCTAAATGCCTAGCTTACTAGAGGGACTTAGGCCTTAGGAGGATTGGGGCCATAAGGAGGTGGCTGCCCAGGATCGCAAGGCCATGAATTCAATCCTTACCTTAACAATGACTTATCACATAAGGGGGTCAATCACGTGACACTTGCCTCAGTCCTGGCCTTCTAGGCACCACAGCTGCTGTCTCTGCTCCGCCTCCCCCTTGCTCATTTTCCTCTAGACACAGTGTCTAGTTCCTGCTGTTCCTCTAACACAGCAACTTGTTCCTGCCTCGAGGCTTTTGCACTAACTCTTTCCTCTTCCTACTCCCTGTTCACTTGCCTGCTATGACTCATAGCACTTATCAATATCTGACATTTTATTTTATCTTCCCCACTACAATCTCCATGAGCGCAAGGACTCTATCTTATTCATATTGCATCCCCAGCGACTATAAAAGTGTCTGAGTCTTAACAGATATTGTTGAGTAAATGAATGAACATAATAGTGCTACCACTCACTGTACCAGTGTCACTGGAATGTTGCACCAAAGTAATGTCTACGAGTACTGCATTAATTCCCCCAAGAGGCTGCTGAGGTCATGCCACTGTATAAGTAGAAAACCTGAGCTGTTTCCACACACCCACAGAGGGCATGCTGTCCTGTCTGGACCCTTGTGCATGACCAATTCCTGGTGTCTTGCAGTGTCTGTCTGCTATCGTCTTACCCCATCAGCCTGCAGGAGTTACGGGCCACCACTTCCCCTTCATTAAAACACTTCCACCCTTAATATTTCCCCCAGAGAACCAAACGATATCTTCTGTGATTGATTTTCTGTGTTAGAGAACTACTTAACGCCTTTAACACCCATTGGAAAGATTTGTGTTAGTATTCCTGGCAATCTTCGTAAATTGCTGGTACAAGGTAAGAACAGGAACCATGAGGCAGAGGAAAGCATCAGGATTGGCATCAGAGAGTAAGAGCTGGAATGGATCCTAGAGATCATCAACTAGCCCAGGGCCTTCATTTTACCAATGAGGAAACTGAGGCCTAGTGAGCACATGACTTAAGTGAGGCCACAAATAGAGGAGAAGAGAAGGGGACAGACTCTAAGTCTCCACTATGCAGAGGCCCAGGCCTTCTTCAATCCAGGACATCCTTCTATTTGCTTATCCTGTTTATGATTTCCAAATGAAAATACTCACCTGTTGCTTCCATTAACCATTTATTTTTCAAGCATTTCCAGGTAAGCAAGAACTCAAAGTGATGCTGGGTGAGAGGGGAGGGAGGATAGATGAGTTTATCAAATTGAACATGCTTGTCCGATGCTCTAGTACTATCATCCTAACTAAAGGATTCCACAGTCGTATATTTAACACACATCAAAACCTAAGAGAAGCATTTGACACATACATAAGACAACTAATCTATACTTGTTGCATTTACTTTTGCAATAACTATAGAACAAATCACACAATTTCAGAGACAATGCTAAGGCCACATTTTATAACTAAGTCATTTGTTATTTTTATGACTCATCAGACCAAAGAATTTCAGAAATACCAGAGGGAGAGGATGAAACAAAAGCCTGATCATGCCAACTTGTTTATTATGAATCTTACTTGCTGGTTGACAAAAATTTCTCAATTTTCAGCAGTACAAAGTACGCTTCCTTAGAGGTATTTCTTTTTCAGAAAATCCTAACTACAAACGTAGGGGACAAAACATTGTAAAACAAAAATAATGGATTTGTTTTCCAAACATCTGGTTAGAAGCTACTTTTGTCAAAAATTTCACAAGTCAGAACGTAATTAATATACTTAATTACTAGTTTCAGCACTACCTCACTTAATACTTTACAATGAAAAATTAAAGGAAAAAATTGGGTAAGTAGATATTTTGAGGGAAAAAAGTGAGCAGTAGAGTTACAAATTAATAGGTACATGTGTCATATATATCTCTCCTACTTCCAAATTAAAAAAATCCGAAACATTATAGTAAAAGATAAAGCAAGAATATCATTAAAACTGACATGGAAGAAAATTAAAAGTCATAGAGGAGGAATGAGAAATAAACAAAACCCTCAGTTATGACAATTACTGTATTTGAGCATTAAATTTAGCTCTAGATTTCCTGGAAATTAAAGCCAAAATGGGAAACATGCTAGTTTATATAACACTTCTCTGATAAAAAGAAAGCATGTTGGGTTCATGAGTAGAAATTTTTTTTCCTGGAATTGAATTCTAGAAGGAATGTGTCATACTTCTGCAAGAAAAACTGAACAAATGAATAATGGATTCAGTGATGTATATGTAGAAAAAGCAGAAATGTTCATGGCATGATCTCAAATAAATAACCCTTCAAGGTAGGTCTAGAGATGTCCATTTACTTTCTTTTTTTTTTTTTTTTATAATTTTATTTATTTATTTTTCCCCCAAAGCCCCAGTAGATAGTTGTATGTCACAGTTGCACATCCTTCTAGCTGCTGCATGTGGGACGCGGCCTCGGCATGGCCAGAGAAGAGGTGCGTTGGTGCACGCCCGGGATCCGAACCCGGGCCGCCAGCAGCGGAGCGCGCGCACTTAACCACTAAGCCATGGGGCTGGCCCAGTCCATTTACTTTCTACTGTTTTTCTGTTTAACCCTTTAAAAATTCATCATCTCACAATTTTTAAAGATGAGGCCATACACACGAGGGGTCACCTACAAAACACCGAGAGGTAACATGAGCACTCTTTAAGCCCTGGTGCCTCCTGTACTGCACCAACACAGGCAGCTTCCTCTCTGGGAGGTGAGCAACTCTCCTGAGTCTCTATGGACAACCAGAAAAACTTGAGAGAAATGTCTTAAAACTCTAGTCCAAATGCCTTGCAGTTTGTAGACTTCATTTTAATTAATAAAATCTGTCACAGAGTTCAATAATGTTCTAAGGCTCCCTTTGTTATTGTTCTGGTTCATTTTGCTTTTGGATGTGTGAGGTGGGGATCAATTTAAAGGGGTTTGGAATGGCAACTGTTCATTAAAGTCAAAATAAATGGATATATATCTGCCTACTTAAATATTTCTTCAAGTGAGAAATGGTAACAACGTAACTCACCTTCAGAATCTCTTCAACACAATGGACTTCATTGGAGTAGGTCTGCTGAAGGTGAAAAGCAAAAAAGAAAAGATGAGCACCCAAATAAACAACTAGAGTGAAGGGATTAGTAGATGCTGGTATTAATACAGCAACACTCTGGTAAATTGAATCACCTCAGGGCCCACCTTTACTAGCTAATATTAGGAATTTCACATTCTGGATGAAATAAGACCAAAGAGATTAACCAAGTTAATCGTGAAGGAAAGGATTCTGCTGGAGACAATGGCAGACTAATTATGACCCTCAGGTCAAAAGTTTCCAATGGAAAATGTGTATATTAAAGAAAATTAGTACATTTGAAATCTAGGGGAATAAGAGATATAACAAAAGTGGAGGCAGAAAGATAAAACTGGTGTCACAGTTTGGGGCTTCATAGCAACATCTGTCCAGTGAACCAAGTTAAATGAACACAAAGATGGCGATCATCTGAACACCTTAGTGAGCCCACGGTAAGGAGGCCAATAGCCAATCAAGGAGAGATTTTTTTGTAATATTCTAACCCGCCAAAAATTCATTTGAAAGTTAAATATCTCTATCTCTACTTCGTCAGCCTTTTCATCTTATATATGCACATATATATACACACACATGTACACACACACACACAAAATATTTCCCCAGAGAAAGAGCCTAAGGAGAGAGGAGATTACCTAGTGTCTTGGAAGAAAGAGCCACTTTTTATACCTCTTCCTTATCTCCAGCTAAACAAATAACAGCTGCTCCTAGTATTCCCACCAAAGAGAGTGTCTAGAAAATGTTATTTTATAGTCTTTATATTTTTAAGTGCAAAGAAAATGGAAAAGTTAAATCTAAAAATAATCACTTTGCTTAACTAGAGACATAAATCCCACAACTTCACGGCTTTCAATGGAATAGCAACTTTTGCTCTGTGTCAATTCATGAGCCAAGTGCCCTGGCCAAGTTCTATAAAACGCACCCGCCCTTTACTGCCACTGCTGTGCAGAAAGCACTGGTCTTCCCAGCCGGTTTGGTCCAATACCTGCCTTATAGCTAGAGAGTAGATGGAAAAGGGTTCTTTTCCCTGCTCTCGTTTCTAATTTTAGTATAATTTAATACAGCATTGGTTGCTAATTCCTCATCTAGGATTTATTAATCCATTTCCCTCATTGAAATTTACTGTAAGGAAGGAAAAGGACAGAAAAGAGCATACAACATTCACACTCTCCTGGAACTCAATCTAATGAACATGTCAACATTCAAAGGCAATTTGATCTGCCTAGGTCTGGTCTTAAAACATGTAAATTTCATGGAAATGGTTTTATTGAAATGTTTGCAGTTTGTTATTTTCGAGGTAGGGTCTGGAGTTAGGAGGTGTAACCCTTTTATCTGCTGGTCCTCTCAGACCTGGCTTTAGGCAGTAGGGCATGTCCACATCTACACATGCTTACCCACATTCTATTTTTCAGAACCATTAAGGGACACCTAAAAACTGGACCAAATGTTAGTAACCAAACATTTTAGCACAAATGTCAGAAACAAAAACAAATGCTGTTTTGACCTGAGGGTAAAATGTAATTATATTCTATGGTTTCACTTGTCCACATCATCATTAGAGAAAATAGCAACTGGAAGTTGAAGGTGAATCAACAGAACAGAGCATATGACTACAGACTCTGGTCAAACAGTCCCCTCATCCTGTCTGTTGCTGGAATGAAAACGGGAATCCAATTAAAGTATCTGGCAATCAATGAAATAGTGAAGCACGTTGGAATAAGGGCCAAAAAAGATTTGCCCACTACTTCCAACAAAATGAGGTCAGAAAGCTACAACTTCAGGACAGTAAGAGACTTTCTGATCTTCACAATTACTCAAGCAGTCAACACTTAGCCAAGATGTTTCATGGCACTAAAAGATTCATTTTTTCTCAAGTTTTATTACATGAGATGAACCAGGACTAAAGGTATTTTTCTATAGCTTATTGTTTATTAGTATCAGGATAAGATAAATATTGTTAAACAGTCACCACTTAACCCATTTAAAATTCTCAATAAGGTCTTAGGTTCAAGCATTAATCGGTTAATTTACTGTGAATTTTCATATCAGGTCCATCATGAGCGTGGGAGTATTTCAAAGGGGTGCGGGGCTTCCATTCCAAATACGAGAGGATGTATCATATTTAAAGATCTCCAAGCAGCACTGTTTATAATGGCAAATAACTAGAAATGATCAAATGCCCAGTGATAGGAGTCCAGCTAACCCTCTTTACAGCGCATCCATACAGCAGTGTGTTACACAGACTTAAAACAATAATGTAAATGTATGTGCTTGCATGGAAAGATGCTCAAGATATTTTCAACTTTTTCTTCAGAAATAACTTCATACTTACAGAAAAATTACAAAAACAGTAAAAGGAATTCCCACAAACCTTTCATCCAGATTCCCCAAATATTGGCGTTCTACCATATTTGCTTCGCATTTTTCTCTCCCACCCCAAACACCTACACTGAATCATTTGAGAGTAAGAGGGTTAGAGTTAATGCCTTTTTACCCCTAAATACTTCTGTGCATACCAAGATATGTTTTAAAGCCATATTTAAAAGAGGGGAGGTTACAAGATAGTCTGTACAGTATGAGCCCATTTTATGCTCCATCTCCCTGAGATTCATTTCTCCACTCTTCCCAACCCAAATTAGAGACTCTTAAACTGAGGTGTAGGTATTTCAGATGTGTTTGCAGAGCAAGATCCGTAAGGACAGGTTGCCTTGCTTAATACAGTACAATTCGGCACCTCCAAGTCTGCCACTGGAAGGAGACTTTCCAAAAAGGGAGGAGTAGTTCGACAAACCACTATGGCCTAATCCCTTCCTGAAAATCCACCATCCCCACAGGGGCTCCAGCTGAGCCTTGCCACTCCTGCTCAGAGAAGCCAGGCTCTCCCTTCAACACTGTGGCCAAAGAGTAAACAGTCAGCCTCTCTGAAGCACAGCCAGTTAAGGCTGAAGATCTTCGGGTAAGACTTCCTCAAAGAACAAAAGATGACAAAAAGCAACAACAACAAAAATCTATGCCAGCGGCGTGAATCAAGAAGCTCTCGTTTGCAGGTCCTTCCCTGTCTAGCTCTCCTTCAGCGGTGCAGACTCGGACTTCAGCACTCACAACCACAAATCCCACTGTTGTCTCCCACCCTCAGTATCTAGGTTCCCAGAGGAGACCAGCTCTCCTCTCCTGCCTACCTGAGGCCCCTTCACAGATCTGGTGTGCTGTACACAGACAAACCTCCCAGCAGAGACCTCACTTCCCCACTGGGGTCATAATTCTATTCAATTAAAAAAAAAATGACACCAGTTACTTAATGAATACATATTGTACTCAACATTGCATTAAACTCTTTATATTTTGTTATTTCCTCCATTTTATACCATCTATTGTAAAATGCACCATCATCAGCTTGCCCGGGGGAAAAAACTACCGCACTAAATGTCCCCACCAACTGTAGATACATCCCTTATTATAGGAACTTAAAAATTAAATAAAAATCTGAGAGAATTCTGTATAATACTCTATTTAATTCTCACACCAACCTTTGTGGTAGGTATTACCCCAGTTTTTAAAATGGGACTGAATTCTAGAGAATTAAGTTACACATCCAAGGTCACGTGAGGCTCTCAAGTGACAGAGCCTGGCTTCCTGATACTGTTACACCACCTCTCCAAAAACCATAACCTGCAGGCAAGAGACAAATATATTAGCATTTTAAGGAGGGGATATGATCCCCGCTGTCCTATGCATGACTAAAAACATTTTTTTTAAGAGCAATGTTTTCCTTTTGTTTGTACAAAGCAGCATTTTGGGATTCAGATTTAACTGCCTCTTACTACTACGGTGCTTCAGACCAGAAAAGGCAGCAGTGCTTGCCTTGGTCTGATTTCCCACTCCTCTTGGAATGACATTGTGTAATCATAAGGAAACGCACTGACACCAAAATAAAATATGTTAGTAAATGTCTTCTAAGCGTGACACAGTTTGTTTTATTAAGCTAACCGGACGGAATATACCTCATCACTGAGACCAGGAGGCTCTCGCATTATTGTGTTTTAAGTCTCTCAAGTTTCAACAGAGCAGCACTTTTATAACAATGCTATTCTCAAAAAAGGCTTAGTTATCATTAACTGGGAACTGCAGGGAGCACAGAGGCAGCCCGCTGACGAAGGAAGCCAAAAGATCTTGGATTCTAGTTCTGGCTTTGCTGAGGATTGGTTCTGCAATCCTGGATAAGATTCAGCTTCCTCAGGACTATTTCCTTATAGTGATAAAGGAATAATATAACCAGTCCTAACTCCACAGGGTTAGTATGAAGGTCAAATGTGAAACTTTAAAAACTATCCAAAGCCACCGATACGTGAAATAATACACGGTATCAACATTATAAAGACATTCTTTAATACTGTGACAGCTTTTAAAGAAAGCCCAATAGGTTCTCTATCAGTTTAACTCTTAAGAGATTAAACAAATGCCCATGGTATTTTTCTTCAAATATATGCCCCCTTTTGGATTATGGTTCAGTCTGTAGTACAGTCACACGTCGCTTAACGACGGGGATACAATCTGAGAATTGCATCATTAATTGATTTCGTCACTGTGCAAACATCAGAGTATACTTACACAAACCTAGATAGTATAGCCTCCTACACACCCAGGCTATTCGGTACCAACCTTATGGCACCACCGTCATATACACGGTCCGTCGTTGACCGAAACATTGTTATGCGCCGCATGGTGGTATCTACTTGCTGCTCACCTATTCCCAACTAGCTAGATAAATCACACTTTCTTGCCCCTATCTGGAACCCTCTCCCACCTGTGTCATGATAACTCCTACTTAGACTTTTAATCGCAGATTAAAAAACATCTTTTGGAAAACATTCCCTGATTCCCTCACTCCCAAAACTGTGCGTGGGCTCCCACAGCTGTCTGTACTTTCCCTGTCAAAGCGCCTCAAGTTATATCGTCTCTGCTTCTTCTAGATGATAAGTTCCATGAAA